GCGCCAGAGCCTCGGCTTCCTCAGCGGGGAAAGCGGCGTTTGCTGGGACACGAGCCTCCTCTGCTGTGCGGCGGCTGTGCTGTGGTCCGATTCACATGGGCACGGTGTCGGGGCTGTCCCTCGGATCCCTCCACCATAACCAGACAGAAAGAATTATTTAAAGAAAACTTTTTTCCCCTATTGCGCTTTAAAATAGAGATTATTTCACTTAGTGACATCCCCAGTTGGGCAGTGGAGCAGCTCGCTGGCGTTGCTTCTGCTTTATAATTTTTTTTTTTCTTTTCTGCCTTTCTACTTCAGTTTCAGCTTCCCTCCGATAAGAAGCACTCGACCCACACTTGGTCAGATAACAGCAGTACAGTCACTCTGCCTTTTCCTGCCTCCCTCGGCTTTGAACTTGGGTCATGATCATGGGGCAACAGTTTCATTCCTTGGCTTGACAAAAAAAAAAAAACAAAACCACCACCCCAAGATGAACTAATTAACCTTACGTCAGCTGTGATCCTGCCTGTGGGGCTGGCAAGGAGAGCGGCGCTTTGCAGGCGCCGGTGTTTGTTAGAAGTGTTGGGATGTGGCAGTAAAGCAATAACTGTCACCGTCGGGAAGGTGTCGTGCTCTGCTCCGCGTCGGCGTGGGGAGACACGGGGCTGGTGGGTACGGAGCCAAACGCTGGGCTTGCCTGGCCGGTGTGCTGCCCTGCGAGGATTTGGGGGGGGGGGGTTGCATGAAACAAAGTGGCTGGTAATAAAGGCCTGAAACACTGAGTGTTTTGGACATTGCTTAAAGTTTTTATAAAAGGAAACGTGCGCTCGTGCCGTTTGGGGTGTCCTGCGTGGGGGGTGCTGGCGTGGGCCCCGGGAGGGCTGGGGGCTGCGGATGCGGCCGCCTTTCGCCGCCCGCTTGGGCTTGGCCATCTGTCGCCCTTCCAGGGCGCTGCTGCTCCTCACTCCCACTCGCAGCTTTTTCTGGGTTTGTTTTGCTGCGTGCAACTTAAGAACTTGTTTTTAACCTTTTCCCGGGGGTGGAGAGTGAGGGAAGGGAGAGGAGAGCAGGAAGAGGTGACTGCAGAGAAGCGTTTTTTGGTCTCAGCCCACGAGACCAGGCCTGGCCCCGCGGCTGCCAAACCTTCGTGCCTTGGCAGAGGGGACCCTGGTGGCGTGCCTGGCAC